CCCTCCTCCTGGACCCCGCCTCAGCCCAGCCCCAGCCCGGCCAGACACCCACCGAAGTAGAAGCCCTCATGCTGGTACTTGGGGTTGAAGAAGACCCCCTTGGCGTGGGCGTTGACGTCGGCACCGGCCGCGATGAGCAGAGCGGTGAGGTCTCGCTGCCGCCGCTCGATGGCGATGTTCAGCGCCGTCTGCCCTGCGCACAGGATGGGGGACAAGGGGGTGGCGGGGGGCTCTCAGCGAGCCGCTGAGACCCTGGTGACCCCCTGTCTGGCCTCTTTCCCGCCCTCCACGGATTTATGGCGAAGTAAGCAGCCCGCCTGGGCTTGGGAACACAGTGCCGAGGGGATGCAGTTTGGCTTCTCATTCCGCAGCAGCACAGTCTCGCTACCACCCAGGAGGGGGCGCTCCAGGACCGGGGCAGGAGCTCTGCAACCAGTCCCGATGCCGAGGGCCTATAGACCGCTATCCAGTACGTGTAACAAGGCCGCTGGAGCCAGCTCAAGGCCTGATAAGCCAGGTGAACCTTAGAACCTGACCCTGAGGGCCAGGGGAGGCAGCAGGCCTGGAAGCAAGAAACTGGCATGACCCGAGTTTGGGATTGAGTGTATGTGCGTTTTTATTATAGACCACTCTGGCTGCAAAATTGGAGGCCTTCACAAGATCCCAAACCTATGTGGAACTCTGCTCCGAGTCCTCAGGGTGGTCTGTGGGGCCTGGGGAAGAAGGGGTGTCTCAGGTTAGGTCCGGTGTCTGGCCTGGGAGCTGGGTGACTGGTGCTGGGGACTGAGGAACAGGGGTCAAGGAGCAGGGGGTGGAGAAGGGACATTAAACCTGTTGGTAGGTAGAGCCTTCAGAACCTTGGTGTGTGTGTGTGTGTGTGTGTGTGTGTGTGTGTGTGTGTGTGTGGGGGGGGGGGGGAGGTGGAGGGCTGTATCTCAGAATGTCCCACCAAAAACATTCCCAAAGAGCTGCTGTCTTGCCATACATAAAAATAAATTTCTGGTGGGTTAAAGAACTACGCTTTTTTTTTTTTTAAATGGGAAATTTGCTAATAACTAACCTTTTCATACAGAAAACCTTCTGAAGCAAGATCCAAAATGCAGAAACCATAAATTAAGAAATGACATGTTTGCTTACATAAAAATTAAATGTATCTGTATTTTGAAAGACATCTTAAAGAAACTTAAAAGGCAATTGGTAGGCCAGGGAAAATATTTGAGACATATAAAATAGACAATGTATTTTTTTTAAGTCCATAATATATTAAGAGCCCTACAAATCAATAAAAAAGACAAACAGGCTAAAAGGAAACAAGAAAAGAATATTAAGAACCCCTCAGAGAAGAAAATACACATAGCCAATAAAGAAACTGAAAGATATTCAGAATCACTGGTAATCAGGAAAATTAAAATTTGAACCTAATGAGTTAAAGACTTAAAAAAAAAAAAAGGATTAATTAAGAGTAGGGGGAAGGAGTACCTTTGTACTCTTTTGAGAGGGGCGAGTTAAAGTAATATTTCTTGATGGCAAATTTATCAAGCGTGCTAATTTTATTTTATTTTTTATTTTTAGATAGGAAAGAAGAGGGAGAGAGAGAGAAACATCAGTGTGAGAGCAAAACATAGATTGGCATGCCCTTTACCAAAGATCAAGCCCAAAACTCAAGCATGTGCCCTGACTAGGAATCGAACCAATAGCCTTTCAGTGCAAAGAATGACACCCAATCAATTAAGCCACACTAGCCAAGGCAATAACCATTCTAATTTTAAATGTGCATGCCTCTGGACCCAGAAAGGCCAATTCAAAGTCTTTCCCTAAAACACGTGTACAATGGGCACAAGGTCATAGACAAGAGTGTGCATCTAGACGTTGTCATACAAAATACTGGAAACGACCTGGATGTCTGTCCAGGGGGAAACAGTTATACTCAGACTAAGCAGGTAAAGAGTAGTCTGACTTTAATATTCTGACATGAGATGTTGTCTAAGATGTATAGTTAATCCGCAAAAAAGTAAGTTGTAGAACAGTGCAATACTGCTCTAGCCTATATAATCCTATATAATAAAAAGCTAATATGCAAATCAACCGAACAGCAGAACAACCCATCACTATGATGCACACTGACCACCACAGGGCAGACACTCAACACAGGATCTGGCCCCTGGTGGTCAGTGCACTCCCACCGGGGGAGCACAGTTCAGCCACAAGCCAGGCTGATGGCTGGCGAACACAGCAGCGGTGGTGGTGGTGGTGGGAGCCTCTCCCACCTCTGCAGCAGCATTACGGATGTTAGACTGCATGGAGCGGGCCTAAGCCATCAGTCAGACATCCCCTGAGGGCTCCTGGACTGTGAGAGGGCACAGGCAATTCATGCACAGGGACCCACCCCCAGTGCATGAATCTCATGGATGGGGCCTCTAGTCTATAATAATAAAAGCATAATATGCTAATTAGATCAGACATCCTTCTGGACCACCTTCCAGATGAAGCTGGGACTGTGAGGGAAGCCCGGGTCCCACGTGCCAGAGGGAAGCAGGTGCTGGCAGCCAAGAGAAGAAAGGTCTACTCTTGCACAAATTTCGTGCATCGGGCCTCTAGATAAATGAATAAATAAAGCTATCTATTTCTATATGCACCTTCACACATATGTTAAAAACCTAGGGAAGTCCTCAAAGCATACACCCCATAGTAACCATCTCTGGAGAGGAGAGTGAGAAACAAGCGAAGCGTTCCTCTTTAACTTAATTAAAATATTCAAATGTTTTACAATGAAATTCTATTCCTGGACTATTTATGTAATTAAAAATAAATTGTTATGCTGAATCTCAATGATGAATATCTAGAAGTTCATTATGCCAATATTTCAAATGTATGTTTAAATTTTTCAATAAAATTTTTAATTAAATTGTTTTTAAAAAAGTTAGTCTCCTTTTTTTTATTTATTGATTAAAGTGTTACATATGTGTCCTTTCGCTCCACCTTCCCCTACCTTCTCTCTGAGGTTTGACGGTCTGATTGAAGGCCTCTGATAAAATGCTAAAAACAATATTTTAAAAGCTGTCATTGTATGCTCTTAGCAGTATAGAGAGAAAATATCAGCCTCTGCCAGGTGGGGAAACTGAGGCTCAGAAAGGCCAGCTGATTGCCCAAGGTAAGGAAAAGTGCTACTCGTGCGGTCCCTGGTGCAAGCAGTGCCTAGAACAGGGAAAGGAAGGGATCAGCAGACACCATCAGGAGGGAGAGTGAGGGAGAGGGTTGTGTCTGGGAAGACAGGGATAAATGGTTCTTCCCACCATGCAGGGAAAGACTGGGTGCCCACAGCCCCTCACTAACCCATCAGCAAGACATAGATCCATGCAAGAAGGAAAGGACAAGGGGAGGCTGAGAAAGGACAGGGGTAGGCTTTCCAGCCAGGACAGCAAAGCCTTCATAGAGACACTAATCTCCATTTATTCACTCATTCAAAGCATATTTATTAAGGACCTCTTATGTGAGGCCCCGAGGGCATCAAAGGATCCACTATGGGGAAAACAGAGTCCCTCCCTGCCCTCAGGGAGAAGATGCTGCTAGAAATGGGAGTCTGTGAGCCCCTACAGACTGACAAGAAGAAAAGAGGGGAGAGAAGGGGCCTGAAAAGGGAGACCAGTCAGGACAGAGAAGCTGGAGGCACTGGCCCAGCCCTCCTTGGCTACAGGGCTAGTATCAACTCCCTAGGGTCAACGGAAACATTATATGGCTCATCCCATTTCTCTCTTCGCTTTGGCTACCAGGGAACTCAGTGTGCAGTTCTGCACTCAGTTGCAACAATATTCCCCAACTTTCCTCTCTTCCAATTGGTAGCTCTGAGTTTTTCATAATCCTTGCCTTTTTTATATATATTACAAAAACTCTTACGAAACTCTGCCGAGCTTAAATAAATTAAAAAATAATGAAATGGCTTTATCCCATGAGAAAAACTAAGGGCCCGACCTAGACCCCCAACCTGCAAGAAGTTGAGACGTCTCGTGCCCCTGGCATGTCATGAAGACAGCATCAGGAATCCCTAAGCCCAACATTTTTGCCACAAGCATCTCCTTAGATCCCAATGGGATGTTTATTGACTCAAAAATTCAAATGAGGATCCACCTTACAGATTATTCACAAAGTATTTCCTGGGCAGGGAAACACTATCCCAGCAGGTCTCCTGGCTCCTCCCTGGCCCACCTGAGAGAGAAGCCACAAAGCTGAGACCCAAATGGGGCCGTTGACAATAAGGACAGTGGTGACACTAATAGTTGCCATGTGTTGGCCCGGCCCAGCTCTCTCACCTCATCTCCAGGTTTCTTTCTCCGTCACTCAAATGTACTTAGGTCCTTCCTATCTCAAGCCAGTGCCCTTGCCTTGCTCTGGATCCTTCTCATCAGACAGACCTCAGGTCAAAGGCCACCTCTCTCACCATCCACTCTAACGTTGCCCACAGCCCCCCACTAACCTAGTTACTTTGGGTCACATGGACTTCTTTCGTTTTATGTTCAAAGTGTTTTTCCATATAAAATTACCTTCTGTAGAGCCAGGGCCTTCCTCTATCATGCTCTCCAACGCATCCCAGTGCCAACAACAATGCCTGGCATGTGGTCGGTGCTCAAAATTATTTGCCGAATGAGGGAAGGAAGAGACAAGAGCCGAGTGCCACGCTATGTGCTTTGGGCTTTCCGTGATCTGTGTGGCCTGGCCGCCACCGCTGTCTACACACCACTCCCCCAGGTAGGTACCTTCATAGGCCTCCTCGGTGTACGCGGCGTTGATGAACCTGTCCAGGATGTCGTTCTCGTCGGCAAAGGCGAGCAGGATCCGCACGATCTCCTTGGTGTTGGGGTTGATGTTGAGCAAGGCCTTCATCAAGCAGGTCTTCCCGGTGTCTGAGGCCGTCAGCTTGTGCATGAGGAAGTCTGTGTGCGAGATCACAGGGGGAGCTACAGGAGGGGCCCCCGAGGAGGGGAGCCCAGGGTGAGGGAGCTGCAGCCTCAGACCTGCATGGCCCCCGCTGGCCTCCCTGAGCCCACACACACCGCTCTCCAGCTCCTTCGCTGGCTCCTCCTCCCCAGAGGCCCAGGAGAGCCTCATCTTTCCCTCTTTGGCTTCTACACCCCCTCCCTGGCAGGAGGCAGTCTCACCAGGGCTTCCCACTGTCTAGACTCTAGAAGCAGACAGACACCATGACGTCTGCAGCCTGCCCCCTCCTGGTAGCCTTCAAATAGAGCTCAATGACTCGCCCTAACTGCTACTCCCCTCTTCCCCTAAACCAGTGGTCGGCAAACTCATTAGTCAACAGAGCCAAATATCAACAGTACAACCATTGACATTTCTGCGGAGAGCCAAATTTTTTTAATTTAAACTTCTTCTAATGCCACTTCTTCAAAATAGACTGGCCCAGGCCGTGGTATTTCGTGGAAGAGCCACACTCAAGGGGCCAAAGAGCCGCATGTGGCAAGCTGCAGTTTGCCAACCACGGCCCTGGACAGCTTGGGCTTCAGCATCCACCAAGTCACCAATGGCTCCGCCCAACTCCTTCCTCGCCCTCACTGCCCACGTCCTTGAGTCCTGCCAGTGTTGCTGACTGAATGTTGTTCCCATCCCTCAGCCCTCCGCTGGGGTCCTAACTCCACCCAGACAGCAGCCTCCTCCAGCTTCACCTCCATCCTCCAGGCAGTAACCAGACCACGACACTCACCTGTCTAAGCTCCTCCATGGCTCCCCATTGCCCTCAGAGTCAGGTTCAAAGTCCCTAACCCGTCACTCAAGGCTCCTCACACGCCAGCCCCACGGGTCGGTGGGAGGGAAGGTGGACAGCAGGAGCCAAGCGGGCACCCCAGCCCCACACCCTCTGCCAGGGCCTGGCACTGACCGGGCACGTCCAGGTTGCGGCGCCTCCTGCAAAGCTCCTGCAGCTCCACCAGCAGCTCCACCAGCTCCTCCACGCAGCCCTCGGACACGGCCGCGAAGAGGCACTTCTTCAGCCTCTTCTTTCTCCGCCTCTGCTCTTCTTTAGCCAGGTTTGCGCTGAAGCCAGAAACATTTTCCAGCTCACCACACGTGCATGCCCACCCCTACCCTCTCCTCCTTTCCCACACTGCCTACAGGACACTGCACCCCCAATGTCTCCGCGTGCCTGTCACAGTGCCTAACAGCCTCTCCATTCGCACCCGAGGCCCCTGGGATCCAAGGCAGCCTAGGCAGTCTCCCTTTCAACTCCAAATGCAACCACATCTATCAAAAGGCATGGTTGGATACACATAGGAGTGAATAGGAAGGATACGGGTAATTACCTTGGAAGTATGGGATTAGGGGAAGGAAAACCTCATTTTCATATTTTGTGTTGTTTGAATGTTTTTATCTATCCCTCCCTGCCCCCAGACGCCAAACAGGCAACCATGGCAATGTGTTGACGTGTATCCTTTGTTTGTGTGTGTTCTTGCAAAATGTACACTTGCTTGGTGTTTCACCACCATCCTCCAGGCAATAGGCAGACCATGCATTTTAAGTTTACATACATGGTATTGCCTTAAGTTCCCATCATGCTGCCTACTGTAACGGATCGGTATCAAATGTAACACTCCCCTCCCCCAATAAATTTCCTACACGTCACAGCCATGGGCCCAGACATTTGTCCCAGCGCCCAAGAATGGCGGCTTCCTTCTCTTTTCTTCAGGGTTCCAGTGCCTGTCCTCCTAGCAACGGCCTGCTGGGCACTGGGAGGAGGGGAAGGGCCGGCTCACCTGGGGCTGTTGGGGTTGGATGGGGTCTCTGTCACATCATCCTGAGGAGATTGTGGGGAGTCCATGTCATCACAGTTGCCAGAGAGGCTGGAGGGAGAGGGAAGAGAGGAAAAGGGGATGACTTGAAAAATGAACCATGTTAGCATGCTACAACCAGGCCCGGCCCTGGGGCCCAGGGCCAGTCACTGCCATCCTCTGGAGCTGAGGGCCAGCTGGGGCAGGGGGCTGGGCAGCGGGGGGTACTCACCACTGCCGGATATTGGAATCCATCGGCTTGGAGAAGATGGGAGGAGAGGTCTTGGCGACAGTGGGGTTGGGCTCAAACCCTTCTATCTCCAGGAAGAAGTGTGCGCTGAGGGGACAACCAAGCAAGGCCATTAGGGCGGGGGCAGGGCCTTCCCCCTGCATGTCCTCCAGCCCTGCTGCCATGGTGCCACCCACTCCACCAGCTCCATGCTGGACTCTTGCTTAGCCCTCACAGCAGCCCCGAGAAGTGGGTACTGTCCTTCTCACCCACGTTAAATAGGTGGGCATGTGAAGGCTCTGAGGTCACACGGCAGGTAGGTGGCAGAGCCTGGATTCAAAGCTGCTCTGGGTGACTTCTCACTAGAAATACTGGCTGGATGGATCCAGTGGTCTCTGCTGGGGTGGCCTACCACTGAAGGGGGGTTTTCCTGTCTGCAGCTGCCCCCAGGTGCAGAGGACTCAGCAGGGATGGGGAACATGCCAATGAGAACTAATTCCTCCATCCCCACCCTCCACCCCCCTCCCATTGCCCCTCCCACCTCAGGTCTGAAGCTGAACTTTCCGGAGGAGTCCCAAGTCCCTGAATCTACAGGGGCCTTTCTTGGAGTTACACTGGCTGCTCAGGTACAGTCCCCTCCCCCCATGCCACCCCCTTCTATCGTCTCTCATGCTGGGAATCCTTGTCAGGAAGGGAAACACAGGAAAGCATTTGGAAGTGGAGGTGAGGAGCAGTGGAGGGATGAGGGAGGGGCCTGCCTTCAGACACACCCACAAATGCAGACACGCATGCTCTCAGAACCCACAATCACACACTCAGAGACACGCCTTCTCGTGACAACCAGGATGGTGAGGATCAGGCTGAGGATGACTTCGGTGGCAGCAACACCCCACCCGTGGCCGCTGCAGTGTAAGTGCTGGCTGTGACCCGGCTCCGTAACCTGGCCTGGGCTGGGCTTCCTGATCAGGTGGCCTCTCTCCTAAGCATCTTCGCTGCCTGCCTCCCTCCCAGGCCTAAAGGATCAATACCCAAGACCACAGAAGAGCTCCCAAAGTGCAGTCCCAGTCATTTCAAGTTCAAGGGAGGAGAGCAGAAGAGGGTTGGTGGCCCCATTCTACAGAAGGGGGAACCAAGGCCCAGTATGGAGAAGCCCCTCATTCATAGTCACCCCTGAGCCAAGTTAGTCAGAGAACCTGACTCCTCATGTCCAGCCTCCAGCTCATGCCACTCTCCATGCTGTTCTGCTCTCCTCTCAGCCCTCCGGGTCTGTTTCCGCCAAACCAGCTCCAGGAATTAGCTCCAGAGGGAGGCCACCCAACACAGCCACCATTGCAGTGGGGCAGGGAGGAGGGAGACCCAGGCTTAGCCTGGGGAATTTCTCTTCTCCAGCCACAGACAAGCCTGGAAGGCTCAACTAATCCAGAAATGGGCATAAAGGGGATGGGGACAGTGTTGGCTGATACACTGGCCCTCACCTTCCTGTCTCCTGCCCACCAAGAGGAACTTTCTGTCTGACCTAAAAACAGATCCTTCTTCCAAAAGAGAAGACAAAGGGAGCAGTGAACCCCTGGCTGGGATCCTGAGGCCTGGGTTCTATTCTGCCTCTGCCTCTGCCTCCTATGTGACCCCAGGTGGTCTCTTGTCATCACAGGGCCAACGGTTCTCACCTGGGTAGAGAACAGCTAGGGTCAGATGACCCCCAGGGCTTGGATTCTGGAGCAGGGGAGCGCTGGGTTAATCACTTATGGACTGTCCAGATGAAATGGACATCGGAGGTCATCGAATCCAGCCACCATTCCCCTGCCCCTTACAGTGCCCCCACAATAGCCACCCCAAAGCTCTCCCGACTTGTCTGGGCTCCTCAGTAGTACATTTACTCAACAAATATTTGTTGAGCATCTACAATGTGCCAGGCACTGTTCTAGGGACTGGGAATATAGTGGTGAACACTTGTGCAAAATCTCTCTCCTCCCAGAGTTACTGTTCTAGTGGGTTGGCCAAAACTGGCCCCAATGATCAGACCAGGGCACAGCACAATGAGGCCATTGCTTTTCTTTTCTTTTTTTAATTGACTTCTAGAAAGGAGGAGAGAGGGATAAAGAGATAGACACATTGATGGGAGAAAATCATCCATTGGCTGCCTCTTGCAAGCCTCCTACTACTTATCAGCCCCAACCCAGACATGTGCCTTGACTAGAATCAAACTGACGACCTCTTGGTTCATGGGTCAACGCTTAATCACTGGGCAACACCAGCCAGGCAGCCATTGCTTTTCTTGCTCTAATGCACTATCCTTCAACTACAAGTTTCTCAATGCAGAAACTACAGTTGTTTTATCCTCATAGTTATGGAGTAAGTGGGTGAGTCAGTGAAGGAGCACTCAATACTGGTCCTGATTCTCAGAAGAAACTAAATGGATGAACAAGGAGATGTATAGGTGATGAGTGAAAAATAAGTGAATGAAAAGAAGAATGGCTGGTGGGATAGATGGACAGATGAGTGGATGGATGAACAGATGGATAGATGATGAATTCATGAGTGGATGAAAGGAAAGGAAAGGAAAGGAAAGGAAAGGAAAGGAAGGAAGGAAGGAAGGAAGGAAGGAAGGAAGGAAGGAAGGAAGGAAGGAAGGAAGGAAGGAAAAGGAAGGAAGGAAGGAAGGAAGGAAGGAAGGAAGGAAGGAAGGAAGGAAGGAAGGAAGGAAGGCTGAAGACTTAGTTGGGAGCATAAATATGTGAGTAGATAGACTGTGAACTAGACTAATAAGCAAACAGACCAACACAACCTTACACTGCAAATGCTGTTTGGGGGGTTGCATCCTTCAAGTGGCTCCCACTGGGCTCTCAGCTGCCTAAAGTCTTCACCTCCCATTCCCAATTTTGCACAAGAAGTTGAGGAGGGGAACTTTGCCTCTCTTCCATTCCTCCTCCTTCTCAGGGCCTCCTCCAAGATCCCACAAGGGTCTTAAGAATGGTCCAGAAAATCAAATCATGGAAGTATCTATCCACTCCAGGCCTGGAGACTGAGGGCCCAAGGGCAGGGAAGAAGTGTGTCCTCATCTCACCGTGAAGTGTTCTCACTGATGCTGAGGGACTCTGCTGAGCCACCAGGCTGCTTACTCATCAATCCACCCACTCCCACTCCTCTCGTTGTCCTGCCTGCTCCTTCACTGACTCACCCACTTACTCCATAACTATGAGAATGCTCTGTATAGGAAACTTGGGGGCAGGGAGGGAAGAGACGACCTCTCGAGAGGCCCTGACCTCAGAGATCTCAACCAGAGTTGAAATATTGTCCTAGTAACTAACTGTGCTACCTGTTCAGAGAGACTATGGGAGCTCAGGGGAGAAGGTCCTCCCAGTTGAGGACAGGGTTGGGGAAGGTTCTGTGATCTGTTGGGTAAGATTTGGGCAGGGTCTTGAAATGGACCTGTGGTTTGGGAAAAGCCCTGGAAGCAGGAAGAGCAGCATGAGAGAAGCGCTGGGAAGGCAGGTAGGGGCTGTGTCTGAGAAAGGAAGTCTTTTTTTTTTAATTTTTAAATTGTATTTTTTTTAAAGGATTACAAATAGTAGTACATGTGTCTCCTTCCCCCCCACGTCCCCCACCCCCATTGATCTTCCCCTGGCCTTCCCTACACCCGGGCACATGCCCTCACCCTCAACTATGGAAGGGGAGGGAGAATGAGGAACAAAAGACATCCCCTTCTTCTGATGGGGGGCCTGGAGGGATGATGGGACCATCTCTGACATGAGCATGTCAGAGGAGAAGGAGCAAGGCCCATTTTTGCTCATCAGTTTATAATGTTCTTTATGATCCATAAATGAGTGAGAGCATGTGGTATTTTTCTTTCACTGACTGGCTTATTTCACTTAGCACAATGCTCTCCAGGTCCACCCATGCTGCTGCAAATGGTAAGAGTTCCTGAGAAAGGAAGTTTTGGGGGGCTTAGGAGAGTGGTAAGAGCCAAGGTAGAGAGGACCCAACAGTGGGCAAGGATCTACCTCCTGGGGCAGGGAGCTGCTAGACCCTGAAGGCCTGTCCCATGCCCATCCTATTTGCCACTGCACGTACCACCTCTCACCCTCCATCAGGAGCTGATGACAAGGTCTTGTGACATCCTGGCTCCTGGCCTGTAGCAGATGCTATTTGCTTATTTCTACCTTTGGCCCAGACCCATGATCGGCAAACTGCGGCTCGCAAGCCACATGCGGCTCTTTGGCCCCTTGAGTGTGGCTCTTTCCACAAAATACTACAGCCTGGGCGAGTCTATTTTGAAGAAGTAGCGTTAGAAGAAGTTTAAGTTTAAAAAATGTTGGCTCTCAAAAGAAATGTCAATCGTTGTGCTGTTGACATTTGACTCTGCTGACTAATGAGTTTCCGACCACTGGCCCAGACCAAAGGGCACCACCTGGATGTTGTTAGCACAGGTGAGCAGACAGCTCTGCATCATTTCTCCTGCATTTCTGTCTCTTTGAAGGCAAAGAGCTACTCCCTCAAGCAGCCCCAGGGCTAGGGAGGAGCCTGTCTCCCTGCTTTGTCCTAATAAATGCCCAAGTGCTCTGAGAGCCAGGAGGCCAACTCTCCCACAGCCTTTATTAGCCTCATCTCTGTTCCTGGGCATCACCTTGCCCAGTAAGATGGTCACCATGCCAGCTACTCACGGGAGTGGGTGATGGTTCAGAAAAAAATCTCTCTCCCATCTATAATAGATTTCTTGATGCCTTCAATTCCATCACTTAGTTCATATTTCCTTAAGTGGTCACAATTGCCATATTTATTTACATATAATTTTTCTTTTTCTTTCTAGACCTGAGGAGCTCTATACTCAGTTCTGAGGGAGATGCCCACATGTTCAGGGTCTTGGGAGAAGCAGGCACACACAAAGGCTCTCAAAAAGCCTTCCAGAAGGAGAGGGGCCACCACTTCCTGAGAAAAAGGTCACATCCCACCTCCAGGCTCTTGGCTGATTAAGGCCATCGGCAGAGTGGAGCCTAGAGTTAAGTTCATGAGCAGGCATGGGCTCAAAATCTCAGCTTGACTGCTGGAAGACCCTGGGATTTTCCTGAAAACCTGTCCTCAATCCTTCCCTGAGACACAAACCTCCCCTGGGAACGTGAGAGGGACGGGGAGGGGAAGAGAGGCAGGAGGGTGGTGGTTGGGAGTTTGGCTCAAGGATCTCTCTGTTCTTCCTCAGACAAGACCACCGAGATCCAAGCTGCCCCATGGTCCTACTGAGACCTGTCTGATCTCCAAATTTTCTCTCCTGTGCTCTGGGATGGAGCTTCCATCTGGAGGCCCCATGGGCACCTCTCAGCCAACAGTTCACACCTAAACTTGGCTTATTCCTGCTGACCTTGCTCCTTCTCCTCTGATGTGCTCCTGTCAGAGATGGTCCCATCATCCCTCTAGGTCCCCCCATCAGAAGAAGGGGATGTCTTTTGTTCCTCATTCTCCCTCCCCTTCCATAGTTGAACCCCTGGACCCCATGATCATAATGTCTCTCTGATTGGTCCCCTTTACCCCTAACCACCCAGGCTCAGACCTCGCCTGGACTTCCCAACAGTTTCTCCTCCAATCCGTCATCCATGCAGATCACCCAGACAGAGTATCCTTTCCAAAATACAAATCTCACCATACTCTTCCTTTCACACAAAACCCTCTATGGCTCCCCACTCAGTTTTGTCCACTCTCCTTAACTGACACCAAGACCCAGCCCCAGTGGAACTCACCTCCTCAAATCCCCCCGCCTATCCAGCACTTCAACCACCTGGGTCTCCTCACTGGTCCCTGCTCCAGACCTGATACACAGAAGACCTCAGTGATTATTACTCAAACCAATATAAGGGAAAGCACCAAGCTCACCTCTGGCCAAGAGTGGGCCTGGGACAGGGGCAGAGGAGGCAAGGCAAATGGGCCAGCCTAGACCAGTGGGCCCACCCCAGGGCCACAGGAAGCACAGCTGGAGTGGAGGAGGGGCATTCAGGCTTGAGGGGCACCAAATAGGCCGAGGCGGTGGGGGACAACAGTGGAGGCAGCTCAGGGGCCAGGTGGGACCCTAGAGAAGTACTTTCCCTGCTCCATGTTCCCAACTGGGAAGTGGTCAAAACATCCTAGCCCTGCCCAGTTCCCAAGGGCCCTGTGGCGTGGTGATGACGATGACGACGAAGCAATGAGTCTCAAGGTTACAAAAATACTATCCATGTCAACACATGCTGGACACTGACTGCGGGTCAGGCACCATGCTGAGTCCTTGGATGGCACGATCCCAATTAACCATCATCCTATGAGTTAGTGCCATTGCTGGTGTCCCCATTACACAGGTGGCGTTAGGGTGTCTGGCCTGGCTGGGCACACAATAGATGTGTATGAAAATAGTACCCAGTATGAGGTCCTGACCCCCTGTGATGTCCACCCACCTTTTGCTCCTTGTCTCCAGAGGACTCCAGCCATCCCTTCCCTTCCCCAGGGGTCTTCCTAAAGGTTCCAGCCTCAGTGGCCCCTGCCACCTCCCTGATGATACCAGTCACACTGACCTCCCTGGCTCGGCCCGCTGAGTCTACAATATGGTTTCCCCGCCCACCGGTTATACTTCGCTGGGCACCAGGCCACCGCAGATAAGACTGAACCTCTCTGGTCCGGTCCAGGCGAGGGCTCCCTGAGAGTGAGCACCAGGACTCCCGCACAGCACCCAGGCCCGAGCCTGCCCATCCTACCTCTTCTTAGTGGGGGTGATCTCTGCCGGCCTCTTCTCCTGTAGGACGACTTGGTTCCCACTGGTGACGGTGGCTTTTCTGCCCATGAGGGGCACCATCTCCTTGGTGTGGGCATTCATGGCTAGAACACAATCACAGCACAGATGCTCGGGTTGACCCAGGGGCATGGAGGAGCTTCAGGGGGCTTCAGACCCTCTAGATGGGGAGCTCACTCTCTCTTCTTCCCAGGGCACCACCCCCTCTCAGGGACAGGGAGACTGTCCCCGAAGCTTTCCCTGCTCCCTTGCTCCTTGCTCATGTCCAGCCCACCAACCTCCAGGTGGATTGCTGAAAATAAGCTTGGCTTTCTCTTGTTTGTGTGTGTGTGTTTGTTTGTTAATCCTCACCTGAAGACATTTTCCCATTGATTTTTTTAGAGCGGAGGGAAGGGAGGGAGGAGGAGGGGAGAGAGAGAGAAAGAGGAGAGACACATCTACTGGTTGCCTCCAGCTCGTGCCCCAACTGAGGCAGGGTATCAAATCTGCAGCCCGGGTACCTGCCCTTGACAGGAAATCGAACCCGGGACCCTTTGGGCCACAGGCTAATGCGCTAACCACTGAGAAACACCAGCCATGCCAAGTGCTGCTTTCTCAATGCTCATTTCAGATTTCGTGTTCAGAGCTCTCTGTGATAGAACAGGACTTGTCACCTCCTTTGCTCTAGACACTATGCTCCTAATGACACAACTTCAGCCCCCTCTGGTTCCTGGATTTCTCAGCACCTGGTGGTCTCTGTGGCTAACACACCGACCATCTCTCTCTTACCCACACAAAGCACAGTGCAACCAGCTTCGTGTCTGTCTGTTCGCCTGGAGGAAGCAACTGAGGAGGCATCTTCTCCGTCCAGACCTGCTTTATTGACACTCAGTGTGGCTGGATTGCGTGCTGGTGGGAGGGCGATGCAGGAAAGAGGGACCGATACATCTTCTAAGGAGACTTGGGGAAGGGCAATCCAAGCAGACGGGACCCCTGAGCCACAACCAGGGGTCACAGAGTTGAGCGAGCGGTAAGGAGCTGGAGCGGTTGTTCACAGGGAGCCCCGACAACAAGAGGCTCGGGAGCAGGATGGACCGAGTTGTGAGGACCTGGACGCCAGCCCGGTGCCTTGGCAGCTCCCCAGGGCAGTGGGGGCCACGGAAGGCCCCGGTTACACAGGAGACAGCCTCCTTAGAGAGAGCAGGCTGTGTGTGGGACGGGGAGACCAGAGGCGGGGGCCAGGGGAGACGCTGTGGGGGCCATCCGGATGGGAAGGGTGGGCTGGCCATGGGAAAGGGTTGTGTGTGTTGCGCCCTGCCCTCTCAGTGTGGACAGTAGGTGACTCTGTAGTTCACGAGGGCCATTCTCAGCTCGAGCAGCACTGAGGGAACGCCCTCGGAGTCAGGGAGATGGGGGTGAGGGATAGATTTCTGTAAGAGCCCCATTAGGTGGAGTGGAACTGGGGCCACTGGTGATCCTGCCCCAAAGAAGAGAGTTTCCTGGAGGAGGGGTCTGGAGCAGGCTGTCATCAGACTGGAGTGCGGTTTACAAATGTCACAGCCCCCTCCACACACACTAACGTGAGCACCCTGGGCAGAGGAGGAGTCATTCTCAGGAGGCCTTTGGCCCAGACCACGGGCGCCTCGGGCGGGGAGCTCTGAGGAAGCGCCTCAAGGCCCACCAGGTGCAGCAGCCCGCTGAGAGGCCATTTTAAGCAGCCAGATGCATGGAAGTGACGGCCAAGAGTAAAGAAGAGGGAGGAAAGGCCTGTTTCTCACACCTCCTTGAGCCTCTGCCCTCTACTCTGAGAAATGGGCTGAATGGCCCCCAAGGACCCTGTATCTCTATGCACGCAGCTGCCTGCTCCATCCTCTCTGCCCTGGGCCCTCCCATGGGTGTAGGCAACACTGGGCAGCTAGGCAAAGTGGTTCGGGAAAACTCCGGACTGGGACATCGGCAGCTGTAATTAGCTTCCTGAGTCACCCGGCTGGCCAGGCGTTCTCACCGGCCAGACTCTCTCGCTGCCGCAGCATCCCTCTCTCTGGCTCAGGCTTCCTTCCACCTGGGAAGGAGGAGGTGGTGCCTCCCCAGCCCCAACACTGTCCACAGGCACAGGGAGCCCCCGCCTCTGGCCCAGCACCTGTGGAATGAGTGCCTGGGCCCTGTCCCTCTCAGCTCAGAGCCGCCTCCCCGATCCCGAAGTCCCATCACTCCTGCCCACAGAGCCACATCCCAGAGCCTGTGGAAAGACGGGCGCCTCATCTTGGCCCTGGGAGCTGTGGGGGTTCTCCCTCCCCAGACCCCTGGCCCTCAGCCCTCAGGGAAAGGATCCTGGCTCCATCAGACCCCGTACTCTGGCACATCTCCATGGCCAAGAGCTCAGCTCCAGTCTAGCTTTGTTTCCCCTGATAGAGGCTCACACTTCCTCCAGCACTCCCAGAGGCCTAGCAACAAAGAGTAGACATGGCTCAGAGGACCCCTGAAGTCCTCTCGCTGGGCTCCCCCTGGATTCCCCCGGGCTCTGAAGGGCACTGGCTGCCTGTGTGGCCACTCACCTGGTGAGGTCGGGTGGCGGTGGCTGCCCCTGCTCTGAGATCACCGCATGTCCGGGGCCCAAGGCCCCCCGGTGGGGCAGTGGCTGAGGCGGCAGGAGGCTCTCATCACAGGTACAGAGATGGCTGGAATGAGGCTTCAGAGGCAGAACTGGCTGGGCCACCTGCCCTTGGCGCCAGGCAGGCCACACCCACCAGCCACAGCTGCAGTGCCCGCCCGCCCACGTGCCATGCCTGAGTCACCTCCACGCCCACATGGCAGCCTCACCCTGACCCAGGAGAAGGTGAGGAGGCAGCAGGTGTCAAGGCCAGAGTTCTGGTCCCAAGTCTTCCCATCGTGGTCCTCCGTTTCCCCACCCTGCCTGCTTCCCAAGGATGCTGTGAGGAGTCAGAGACTGCTGGTGGGAAGGCCTAATCCACAGTTAAGTGTTCTATCCTGGCCCCTCCAGGCCCAGCCACAGCTGAGGGATGGATGGAGTGACCTCAAGGCGGCCAGCCCCAAGACTTGGTATCAGTCCTTCAAAGTCTGGGACCAGGTCCCGTGAGAGACAGAAGTCCCCATTCAGTGCTCCCACCAGAAGTTATGCACCGCAGACCTTGGAGTCAGGCAACCTCACCCATTTCCTATTGTATGACCGGACAAGTCATTCTCCCCAGCCTCGATTTCCTGGCCTGTGAAATGTGCATAATAAATCACATCCCCAGTCACTGAGCTCCTGTGGGGATGAAATGGGAGACCACAAAAAACAAGGCCCAGAGAGAACAGAAAGAACTCAGTAAGTGGTGACAGCTATTAGCTATGATTGTTTTTGTCATGCTGATTCATTCTCCCGGCAGCTGCCCTGGACACCGGCCTCCAAGGCCAGAGCATCAGGGAAGACTCCTGCCCTCCCTGCGCGCTGACCACAGCTGTGAAGGGGGCGGAGCAAGGCCAGCAGGCCCTGCCTGTCCCCGTGTCTCTCGGGAATTCCACACCTGTCCCCACAGGCAAGATGGAACCGTGATGGAGCAGGAAGTCTCTGGTGACAGGGATAGCACTGGTGACTGATGCAGCAGGGACTTCCCCTTGATCCCTCGTCACCCCAACCCGCCAGCCTTGGGAAGGGCTGGAGGCGGGGCCCAGCTTCTGACCTGGGGCAGCAGGTGCTGTGCCCCGGAAGGCGCAGAAAACCTGGCTCAGGGCCAGCAGGCCTCCGGTGTGCGTGTGAGATGCAGGGGCTGCTTTTGCTGTGTCAGCCAAGGGGGTCTCGGATTCCCACGCACACAACTCAAAACGTCATCACCGCCTGGAATTCCACATGAAAGCCCCATCTTGGACCAAGCCTCGTCCTCCCTCTATTACTCAGTTAATTGCCCCTCCTGGCTGAGTCCCTCACCCCTCTTGGCCGGCTTCTGTCGGCCTGAGAGCCCTGGGGGCAAGGCTGTCAGCAAATGTCAGTGTTTATGTTGTGCCCGGTGTCAGCACATTTCTCCAAGGCCAGGCTGGAGCTGGTTAAGGAGGCCCCGTCTCCCACCCAAAAGGCATGCACTGAGCTCAGCGCAGAGTGAGGCGGACCAGCGCTGCTGGGTGCGGGAGCAGGGGCCACGTCCCAGCCAGAGTCAGAGCCATGCCCTCCCTCCTCCCCCCACCACGCACCTCAAACACGGGAAGCCAGCAGCTCCAGCCCTTGAGCTGTCTACACTCAATCCCATTTAATCCCACACACAGCGACAGCCCACGGGACAGGAGAGGCAGGGAAGCCAGGGGCCAGGGTGGGGCTCAGAAATGGAGAAGGGGGTCTCCGTCCAGGAATGAGGAGCCCTCACCCCACCCGGCAGGTTGTCAGGACGAAAGGACTCGGGCACCGAGGAGGGATGAAGTCCCTCTGATGGGGAGGCGGGAGGGGGGTTCAGGAGAGAGGGGGCGTCTGGGTTGGGTGTGGAAGGAGGGAGGACCGTCTCTACAGGGAGAGCCACAGGAGCAGGGACTCGGAGGCTGGAGACCACAGTGGTGACGAGCTTGAGCGACATTTGAACTGGGTGGGGTGTGAGAGATGCTCTGCCGAGTCCAGCTGCAGCCCATGGAGTGACCCAGGCCACCAGGCCAGCCCTGGCCCCTGGCACCAAGGGCTGTGCTGGGCATGCTGTCACCACCATGGCCTGGCAGGGAACTGACCAGCTGAGCTGAGCCAGCACATCATACCGAAGGCAGCGCCTCTGCTCATCTAAACGCCGCTGCTGCCTGCCCAGGGGGGACTCCTGGCTGTGTGAGGGCCCACGTAGCCCAGCAGCAGGGCTGTGGAGCCTGGAGTCCTGCCTCTTCCTACCAAGCCTGGTAGCCCCGCAGACGCGCGTTTTGCCCACTCTGCCTCCATTGCCATGGGGGTGGCCTGGAATGCTCATTCACAGCAGCCCAGCACCTGGGAACCAGGGCACCTTGGGGGTGGAGGGGGGGTAATAAGCTACCCCCACAATCCAGCTCCTCAGTCCTTGGTGCAGCCGTGAGCCACTCTGTGTGCACCCTTCATCAGTGGCCTGCGCTCCCTCTCTGAGGTGAGACACGGTCCCAGGAGCGACCTTTCAAACTGGCTGTGCCCGTGGGGTGCAGGGGACAAGGGGCCAGAGGCCGGGGAGGGAGGCAGCCGGAGACCTGGACTTCAGGCAGCCCTAGACATCTGCCAGCACACCCCGTGCCCGCCACCTCCTCTCCAGGCTGAGATCAGAGCAGAAGCCTCAGTCCGCGCGCGGTGTATGTCTGCTCCACGTCTGTCTGCTGTGGAATTTCAATGGCCCACAGACAGATGACACCCCAGATGTCCCTCCCCTGATCCCACACCTCCTGTCTTGCAGACATCAGGCCCCAGGCAGGTCCACAAGATCCCCCCAAAGAGGGAGGAATGAGAGAAGAGGTTTCTGTGGGTGGGTGGGTGGGTGCAGCCAGGGAGGGTTGACCTCTTGACCCTCTCTAGGAAACGCCCACTTGGTGAGGAATGGATCAGGCAGAGCTCCATCGACAGCGTTGGGCCCACTCCATGGTGGTCAGCGTCCTGGCAGCGCATGTCTCTCCCCTTCTTTCCCACCCCCTCCCCATCGTCCTTGGGCTGAGCTGGGCAGCCTCCCTATCGCTGATTCTGGGTTGTGGCTCCTCCTGCCTCCAAGTGATGGAGCAGGGCACCTGGGGACAGAGAGATAAAGAGACAGCGACAGGAACAAACAAAACAGAAACAGACTACAGATACAGAGCACAGACTGGTGGTTGCCAGAGAAGAGGGAGGTTGGAAGACAGGGCGAAGAAGGTGAAGGGACTGAGAAGTACAGATTGGTGTTACAGAACGGTCAGGAGGATGTCATGTACAGCTGAGGGAACAGTCAATGACGTTGTGATAACTCTGTATGGTGCCAGGTGGGTACTGGAAATGCTGGCGGGAACACTGTAAGGATAAGGTTGTCCAGCCATTATGCTATACACCTGAAACTAACATAAAATAAAATTGAATGTAAAATGTAATTGAAAACTTTTTTTAATTATAAAAGAGATAGCAACAGGTTAAAAAAAAAGAAAAAGAAAAGAAAAGAAAAGAGAAAAGAAAAGAAAAGAAAGGAAAGGAAAAGAAAAAGGCTAGTTGTATTTGTGTCCTACACAAACCACCCAGCTTCACAGCAAAAGGTTTTATTTTATAAAAGAGCACCCACAAGTCAGTTCAAAAGTTGATTCAGCCCTAGCTGGTTTGGCTCAGTGGGTAGAATGTTGGCCTGTGAACTGAAGGGTCTCAGGTTCGATTCTGGTCAAGGACATGTGCCCGAGTAGGTAGGGGACCTGCAGGAGGCAGCCAATCAATGATTCTCATCATTGATGTTTCTCTCTCTCTCCCTCTCCTTTCCTCTCTGAAATCAATATATATATTAAAATTGATCCAATTTGCAAAAATGCATGGATAGCTCACATCTACACTACATTTTTTTCTGAGGAAGATTTACAGGTGAAGCAGGTTGTCCCAGGCCCACAACAGGAAGTGAGAAGCCCTCACGTGGCTGGTAGAGTGCCTCCCCCCTCCCCCTGGCCAACTCCTGCCCTGCCAGGCAACCCAGCTCCGCAGTTCAGTTCTGGGCTTTGGAGTCAGACGGCCTGGGCTCAGACCAGGCAATGCTGTTCACAGGGTGGGTAATTTTACTAACTGTCCCAGCCTCGTTTTTCTCACCTATAAAATGAAAGCTTATCATAGGCTGTTAGGAAGCCTGAAGGCTAATGCGCTTTGTATAAACAGTACGTGCTGCCCACCAGTTTCCCTCCTCTCTGTCCACTTGCCATGGCCTGGCCTCGGTTCACCTCACACCTCACCAGCAGCCCCCATGCACCTCCGTCAGGCCTCATGTGTGGAGACAGATATGACGCTGGAGAACATTGTAAAGGAATCCCACTGATTCCTCCAGGTACCCCTCTCGCAGGCCTGGGAGCCCCAGCCTCAGCTGACGCCAGCCCTGTTCTCATGAACTGACATCCAACAATTCCATGCCTGGGCAGCTCATCCCGCACCCACAGACATTAACGCCACCCGCCGACCGGGGCAGCTCCTGGATCACTGTTTGCCGAATTCTGTTTCCTAAAAGCAGGAGTCAGCACACTTCCGTGCAAAGGACCAGATGGTGACTATTTCAGGTTCTGCAGCCCCGTTGGCCTCTGTTGCAACTGCTCCATCCTGCACTGGAAGCCGCCGTGAACAGAACAGAGATGAATGGCCACGCTGTGTCCCCATGAAAGTGTGTTTACAAAAACGGCTGGCAGGCTGGATCTGGCCCACGGCCCATGGTTTGCTGCGCATCGTAGTTGTATGCATGAAAGAGTGCCCTCAGCCGAAACTGGTTTGGCTTAGTGGATAGAGCATTGGCCTGCGACTGAACGGTCCCAGGTTTGATTCTGGTCAAGGGCATGTACCTTGGTTGCGGGCACATTCTTAGTAGGGGTTGTGCAGGAATCAGCTGACCAATGTTTCTCTCTCATAGATGTTTCTAACTATCTCTTTCCGGTCCTCTCTGTAAAAAAAAAAAAAAATCAATAAAATATATAACTTTTTAAAAAGTGGCCTTTGTGTTCTTATAAAAAAAAAAAAAAAAAAAAAAGAGTGCCCTCACCCATGGGTAATAATGAAAGGGTCATGGAGGCTCCCAGCCCTATGAGGTAAACACATGCACGCAGAGAACACATACATACACATGCACATGCTCGCGCGCGCACACACACACAAACTGCACAGAGCTGATGACCGGCATAAAGTTCACACTTGATATATGTTTATTGATTTGATGGATGATGGGAGGGGTGGAGGCGGAAGCAGGTA